TGCTTGCTGGTGGGCTGTAGGTATTTACAATTATCAGGTTATCATCCTGATTCCAGACCTGCAATGCCATTATGTCAATATCTCGAGGGTTTTCAAATATTAACTCTTTTACCTTCAGGTGTTTTTTCACCAGTACAGCCACTCCTCCTCCCTTCCTAGTTTTCCTGTCACGTCTCCAAACTGAGTAGCCTCTTGGGAATATGACTTCATTTATTATATTTCCTTCAAGTTTCGTTTCTGATAATGCAACAATATCTGGGACCCTAAGCTGGATTATATCTTGCAACTCCAAAGTTTTTGACCTCACTCCATCTATGTTGGTATATACAATTTTCAGGAACATGTTCCCTTTTCCTTTGCTCTTTACTCCCCCTTCCACTACTGATCTTGTTGCTTTGTTTTTATGTACCATTTCACAAGCTTTCCAGTCCCTGTCACTTTGTAAAAAAAGAATTTCTGTCTTCTTCATTTCTATCCCCATTTAGACGTTTTGCCTCAATTAAGTTCATTTTCAGCTTTTCTCTGTCTTCCTTGGAGAGGTCTTGTCTTATTGACCAAGATTTGCCAACCTCATCACTCTGCAGATTCCTGGCATTTCTTAGCACTTCCATCATGTTTTTCACTCCATTAAAGGTCACCCTTAAGGGGCGGTTCTTTTCTTTCTCATATTTTCCTATTCTTCTAAAATCACTGACATTTTCCTTTGAGCCTTCTCCTAAACCTACTATTTTCTCTATGATTTTCATCTCTTCTGCCGCTCGGTCCACCCTAGATGAAATTTCCTTCTCTAAACATCCAAAAATGATTATGGACTTAGTTCTATCTGCAGTGTTTTGTACCAGTTTACTGTTGGTAACCAGTTCTTTCCTAATTGCTTGCCTAATTTCTGCTTCTTGTTGGTCATTTCTGGTTTTGACTTCCGAACACACTTCTTTGATAGTCTCTTTCTCTTTTACAACTTGAGCATATGTCGCTTTTATTTCTTCTTTATACTTTTCTAGTTCTTTATTCACCTCCTCTATGTGAGTTGTCAGTGAAGTTTCCAGTTGGAGATCCTTACCTAACTCTATGTTAGCCCTTAGGCTTGCTTGGAGTTGTTCACCATATGAGTCTATCTTTTTGTTTATTTCTTCAAAGTCACCACACTTCACTTTCCATGCCTCATTTTCTTTCACTAGTTCCTTGATTTGCTCCTCCTGATTTGTTACCTTGTCTGTTAATGCAGTAATAATCTTACCTTGTTGCAGCATACTCCCTTTTAGAGTGCAAAGCTCACTCCAAAGAGCTCCATTGTCCTCTTCTAATTTAAGCACTTTTCTTCATACTTCATTTGCATGTCCTCAATTATCTCTAACCTGCCAAGAACACCTCCTTTCCTTATATCTTGTGTTGAGAATCCTTTGAAACCATCATCTGATGGTGTGTCTACCTTCTCAGTGGGGGTGGTGGCGGCGGCCATCTTTGATTTTGTTCTAGACCAAAACAAACTTTTCCACTCGACTATTTTCACTCAGTTTTACTTGTTTATTGTATTTTATTTGCTTTTACTCTTCCCTGAACCTTTATGTAACCTGGGACACCACTGTAGCCCTCAACCTGTTCCCACTACTTAGGTAATTCGATATTTCCAGGAGCTTGCTGCAGTGTGACTTCTGCCTCCTCCAGCTTCACCTCACCTCCAAGTGTGTGTGTGTGTGTGTGTGTGTGTGTGTGTGTGTGTGAATATAAATAAATATATAATATATGTTTATTCAGGTAAAAGTACATACATACAAGATGAGTTACAAATAGAATGTTGTATTTCTAGATAGAGCTAATATAGTACATACTGCCCGAAACGCTGCGCGTGCTAGTGGCTTTACAAGACTGTAATTACCATAATTGTATCCTCACATTCCTTATGTACATTCTTGTATATGCATAAATAAATAAATAAATAAATGTCTAAAGCCACTAATACACACAATGATTATCCTCAAGACATGTTTTTATAACTACGAACTTAATTTAGTTTTGGACTTGCTGGGTGCATATCTTGTAAAAAATATATAGTAGATTTATATGGTGATATTCTTTTAATTATGTAGAATTATATACAGTACTGTATTACCTTTTAATGTTGTTTTGTATTGTAGTTAAAATAAATAATAAATGTTTATTTAGGTAAGGTACATACATACAAGAGATTTTACAAAAATTGATAGATTTATAGATAGAGCTAGTACATACAATGCCTAAAGCCACTATTACGCAAAGCGTTTCGGGCAGGAAAAACATTAAAGACTAAAACTTAATACTAATTGAGTTTAAAGTATAAAATGTGTTGAGAACAAATAAAAATAAAAATAAAAAAGGGGGAAACATGGCTGAAAAAGCAGCACAAATACAATTAGGTCGACAAACAGCGTTGTTTAAAAAAACAGACGGGTTGACAATATAGGGGTAAGGTAGGTTACAGGGAATTTATTAGGTAGTGCTTCGTTTTTATCTTAAACTGATTGAGAGAGGTACAGTCTTTAACATGATTGGGAAGGTCATTCCACATTCTGGGTCCCTTGATTTGTAGAGCATTTCTAGTTTGATTAAGTCGTACTCTTGGAATATCAAAACTGAATTTGTTTCTGGTGTGGTGCTCATGGGTTCTGTTACAACCTTCAATGAAGCTTTTATTCTTCTTTTTGCTTTTTTTGCTATTAGTAGGCTATTAGTAGTTTTGCTATTAGCTATTCTTTTTGCTTCTTTTGCTATTAGTAGGCTGTACGTAGCAGGCTAGTGACGTGAAAATCATAGCAATATTGGCAAGTGGTGACCAGTCTAAAGTTCTCCCATATACAAGTAAGGAAGAGATACTAGTGTGTGAGTGATTGTGTGTGAGAGTGACTATGAATGTCATGTTTGACTGGAGCGCACTGTTACTGCCGCGCTGTGATTGGCCAACATCATTCCTGACGTAACTTCATGAGATCTGTAGGAGAGTATAGATTCCTTGACTGTCATTACGCTCCATGTAGAAGCTTTCATAGAGAATCTAGGCTTCTTTTCTCAGGTCAGGCAATTTGCGTGAGCTTGTTTGCTCTGTTTGGCGATGCTTATTTGTTCGTCATGTTCGTCATTTTAGTGTTTATTGTATTTTCGATCTTATGATGGTGACTTCTGTTGTCATTCTTCTAAAGGACTCTTTCCTCGTTATTTCAGTAATTATATGAGGTGTAGCACAAAGGCCCAGTGGAAATGGATTGACTATACAAGAGTATGGTAAGAGGCACGTCTGTTCAAATGGTCGTGTTGTCGAAATTCATACAATTTATTCGTAGGCGCATAACATCTTGATAAATTATATCTCGAATTAAACTGCTTTCTCAGATCTGGGAATATGTTGGCTACCGCGCACTAGTGTAGAGTAATATCGGTGTCATTAGTAGTCGTCGAGTCAAAAGTGTTTTAGCACAGTGGACAGTGGGAATGTTTTCAGGGAAGTCCTCGCTGAGCGTCCTGACGGCCGAGCTCAACCTTCATTTCAGTTTCATTCCTGTAGTGGTACGGTGATTGACACAGTTCCCCTTATTGGACAGTACGTCGGGAAGCTGAGCAACCTGATACTGGGGTAATTTATAATGTGATGTGTGTTTCAAAAGTCGTTTGTGAGATCCATATTTGCTGAAATGGTAATCCTTTGTATATGCTGTATAATGAAATGCAGTACTGTACCTAGATTTCAGAATTCCTTGTTGTAATTGCAGGATAATTTCCACTTTGTTGGTTGTTTTGGTACAGAGGGGTTAAACTTTGTGACACCGTGATTACAGTGGAAGCAATGCTGTTTTGTGTTTGCCATGCATAAAGAAACCAGACTTGTTGTAAGGCATCATTAACTGATAACTTTTGATGGGGTCTGATACACAGTTAGATTTAGTTAATTTGATTTATGTTATTCTTAAGTTGCATGTTAGGTTTGGCCTAAATTGTATTTGGTTAGGGCTCATTACTTACAGCTAATGTTCAATTAGGTTGTTAGGCTAAACAATTTTTATCAATAAAGTAAAAAAAACTTGAAGGATGGCAGTGCATAGTTTTTTCAATCAGCATATTCACAATAAGAACACAAATATGAATGGAATTATTTAAGACTTATTTATTGGGGGGGGGGAGGGGGGTAGCTGAATGCAAAAGTTAGGTTACAAAGCTACACTGTCATGTATTCAAATGGCATAATACCTTATCAGGCATTCAAAGTGATCGGTGTTCCATTGAAATGAGGACACAGGTGATGACCAGTTGCACTATTATAGTTTTCTTGCATTCATTTAGGATTCAGCTTATGAGTATTAATTTTAAAAAATGTCGACATTAACCTTATTTCCCTGACATAAATGCCCAATGTCTACCACTAAGTGGCATGCTACAAGAATGTGGCTAAGTAAAGCAGTAGTGCTTTAAAGCAGCAAGGTGAATAGTTATGAAGTAAATTTTGTAAGAAAATTTTGTGTTCTGCATTCTTCGTATTACAAGAAATCTTGAAGCAAGATAAAAATCTTTTAGGCAGGAGATTTTATAAAATTTGAGAGCACAATTTTGTTATTGTTAAAATTACATGAAGATTTATCAACTTACTTTATTTAATTTCCAATTTGTAGATGAAATTTTCTCTATTTTCATTTTCATAGTTACCTTGGAAACTTAGAAAGATTTTGACAGGGGTTCATGCCCTAGCTGGTGAGGATTAACTCTTTGCCCCTTTTTCACCCAGCAATAATTGGAGACCTAGTTGTAAAGGAATTAGTGGGTTGTCTTCCAGGAAAAACTAGTATGGTAAGGCTTAACATGAGCTGTGTGAAGGGAAAGCTCTAAGCCTGCTAACAAGTCAGTTGTCTGCTCCTCTACCCACCTTGTAGGACACTGCATATTTGCATACAAACCTAAGAGGCAACATTCCATTTGATACAGGATTAATAGCTGTCACTGCTGCTGGTATAATTATGGTTGCATAATTCTATACCCAAATTCAATACATATTGTAGTGCAATTGTTTCTGAATATTTTATTTTTCTGATAAGGTCCACTTTCCAGGGATGCACAAATCTTCATCACTCTGTTAATAAGTTGTGTATAGCTAGTTAACAATAGCAATAAGTAACTTGGTTAACTTAGGCAAGATTCATTTGGTTATGTTATGACATAGCCTAATGCTAGATTCCTATCAATTTAATTCGCTTGGTTAGGTTACACAAGGGTCAAGTAGGTCAGGTAAGGCAAATTAAAGATAGGTTTGGTAATGCTTGCATGGCTAGGTAGTGTAAAGCTTGCATGGGCATTATGTATGTTAAGTAGGTTTTTAAGGCTTGTATACCTGACTTGAATGCAATGATATGCAAACAAATGCCTTCCACCCCACTCTCCCTGGTGTTGAACAGCAAATACTGTTGAGCAGGCAGCAGCCAACCCGGATATCAACAGTGACCATGCTACCAGCCCCAGTAACCGTGAGTTATTGTCATATCGTCAATAATTTAAACATTTTTTTTTCATGGATTTCATATGAATTAATATTTTCGTAAACTTTTCTCCATATTTCTTATGTCAAGTAAATGTGAAACAGTTTTAGTTTCATTGCAGTAATAGGTTGCTTTTGAATCTAGGAAACTTTGTATGATCTTAACACATCTGGTGAATGTATGTGTGTTCCTCCATGAATAGCAGTCCCCATGGTGCAGTGGTAAAGCACTCGCCTGGCGCTTCGCAAGTGCTTTGGCCTGGGGTTCGTATCCTGGCCGGGGAGGATTGACTGGGCGCAAATCCTTAACTGTAGCCCCTGTTCACCCAGCAGTGTGTGGGTACCTATTTGTTAAACAATTTGGCAGGTCGTATTCCAGGAAAAATTAGGATTAAGGACCTGCCTAAAACGCTATGTGTGCTAGTGGCTTTACAAAAATGTAAGAACCCTTGTATATATAAATAAAAATATTGAAAAACAATTTGTCAAAACCTTTTCAGTTCCATGAGGCTTAACTTTTGTAATCAAAGTTTTAACATTAAGTTTTTCTAAGGCATTTCAGACAATATTTTATTTGTTTCTTGTGGACAGGAGGATTTTTCTAAAGATTACATCTTTTGGTTTGAGCCTTCATAGTGATTTGTTAAGTGTGCAGATCTTTTTGACACAACAAAATTGTGTGCTGAAATTAATGTACTGTACTGTAGATGTTATGTATGCTAAGAAAGTTTTCTTTGAATACAGTAAAATATACATAACTAGTTGTACAATACAATAAAATAAAGAAAATTGGGTAAGCTTTGAAGTAGACAGTGTAACTAAATATCGCAAAACTGTCTAATTAAAAGTGTACATATTGTGTACAATATTTAGTTTGCAGTTTTGGTTGAACACTCATGCCTTGTATTCATCATGTTTACTCCTCCTTTGCATTTGTATACAGTATATGAAATACAGTACAGTATATAAAGGAAAGAATATCAGAGAGATCCGATCTACTTAGACATAAGGAAGTATACTTGTCCATTGTCTATTCTCACATCTTGCATGAGATTGGATTGACAGGTCATTAATTTATTTATTATTAGCTGATTGATTACCCCCCCCCCAAAGATAAATATTTACACTATACAAACACACTAGTCCCATAATATATTCATAGTACTACAATATATGATATATGGCTGTGATTATTACTATGCCTCATATTATCTAATACTTTGTAAAGATGCTTCGATCCTATGATACTCTGAACACAACTATTCCTTGACTGATGCTATGAATGATACTTTTTGTTGTTTATTTCTATCATTTTATTTCCAGGGTATTTTTGATTGAAAATGTCTATACAGTACATTTATGATAGGAAACATTAGTCTGTACAGTTTATGAAGTAAAAAAAAAAATGAATATAGGGATAGAGCTTTAAAACAGATGCAGGGTTCTCTGATAAAATTTAATAAAAAATAAGTGATATGAAGAGCTGCAGTCCAAGTTTCCAGATGAACCATCAATATCAGTGAGGTTGCTCTAGAAGTTAGTTCCAGCAGTAGACATGTTGATAGTAACATAAATACTAAAGGAAGCTTTGTCTTGACATTAAACTATAGCAGTGATCCCACTGTTCAGCCTAACCAGAATTGTAAAGATTTTTTATAAGTTGTTACAAATAAAGCCTCGGTTCCTGTGGTGACTGTAAACATGCATTAGTATTCCTTCTCATGATGTGTCAGAGACACTTCTTGGTGCATTGTTAATGGTGTGTAGTATCACAGGTCTGCCAGGGTTGAACAATCTGGGAAAGGAAAGGGAATATAATATTAATACTGGATTGAAAGTAATTTAATGACATTTCATGCTAGGCAAAGATTAACCTTCGGTGGTGACTCTTCAGAAGCGTGGATATCCTAACAGAAACTCTTGGTTGCATTGACCTTTTTGCTGAATTGTTATCCAATTCTTGTAGAGTGTATACAAAGACATTGAAATCCAGGAAAAATGAGTGTTATCTTTAAAAGTAGGCAGTAAATTTATTGATGTTAACATATGAAGTTACATTGCAGATAATATTTGAACTCAAGAATTCAAAGTATTATAGAATATACATTAATTCAATATCTGATATTAATAAATCTAATCAGCGTACAGTGGTGTTTTGTTATGTACACTACTTTATAATGAAAATGTGGTTAAGGGATTTTTATAGTCGATTCCCGTTGAACAACATGAAAGGGATATACTTATGTTATCTCAAATTTCATGGCATCAATATTGAAAGCTGCAGGTTATAGTAATAATGCCAGCAATGCGAGTGCCATGTATTCAGAAGTGCTAGCTAGGTTTCCTGATGTTAAGTGGCTGAGTGTTTCATGTGCTGCTCATATTCTGATTTTGGTTGGGTTAGCTGCTGCTGTGTGTTGCCCATGCATCAGATGCCATAATGTATTTGTATGTACACTGTAGTAGGCATCCTTCAGTCTCGGGAGACTATGGAGTTGCGCCCTGGTTGTCAATCCTGATGCAGCGTCTGGTGTGACTGATGAGGCCAATCCGAGAATGGTAGTCCATCCCAAACTGAGCACAAACGAAGTCCGATTCTGATCTGTCTTCAATTTCAAGTTTTGTTTTCAATCTGAAAACAGTAAATGTACATTATACTTTTACAACTATTAGCATTCATTATTATGTGGGACATATTATATACAATATTATAAATATAATCTTTAATATTAAAATTTTGCTATGGTATGTTATTATTTGAAACAATTAAAACTGGTTCAGTATCTTATTTAAACTTCAGAGTTGTCTATTAACTGCTCTCTGCTGCTCACCACAAGATATTACATTGATACAGTACAGTATTATGATATCCATAGTCTATGCACTAAGATGATGTGTACTTGAATTTTCTCTAGTGCAATTTGTTTGCAAGTTTAAAAGCCAGGCAATAGTATTTGGGCAACATCCTGCAACATAAAGGAAGATAAGAAGCTTGACTGTGTGTGCCACTAGGGATGCAGGAGCTGTAAGTACAGACTGTAAAGGTTTTGATTTTTAACTCGTGGCAGCTCATGTTAGCCTCGCTACTGTCATTCCAAACTTTACTGAAAGCAGCAATTGGAATGCTAGTATTGAATTAAATTTGATATTAAACTAGCTGGATAATTGGTTCTATGTAAATGAGTCAGGATCTGCAGTGTTCCTGTTTTGAGGAAAGATATGATAGATAAGATTAGGATAGCATATTTATCTTTTTTTTTTTTTTTTTTTAAGATAAGAGGAGCCATGCATGAGGCATGCTAGTGATGTTTATCTGGTGGGTTGATATGGTGCATGTTAACCTTGTAATGTAGATAGTTAGTGGCTGAAGGTACGAACAAACAGCATTGAAACAGTAAGAAATGGAAAGTCAGTATGCAAGAAAGGTTTAATGAGTGCATGCAAATAGAAGGGAAAAGTGTTTAACTGAAGTACAAGTATTGTGAAAGTTCTTGCACAAGTGATAAGCGAAAGAAGAGATGCAGTTCCATTAAGATTTGGTAGGAGGTGTAAGATAAAACACAATGAAAGGTAAAGGTGCCATAAATAAAACTAACGACATTGTTGATATCAGGGATGGAATAAGATGCATTCCATGAACAAAAATAGAGGTTTTCAAGTGAGAATTTGGCAAGTTCCTACAGGCTGTACCAGGTTGTAATGACTAGGCTATGTAGGTTTGTGGGATACATATAATGATGGCCAGACTGATTAATAAGTAGTCACTAGGGAAGCTTTCATAGATAAATCTATGTAGGATAAGTTCTGACAATGTATCTAAAAAATGTGACACAAAACAATTTTTTTATGCTGTTGGTATTGTTTACTTTGAGAATGTACACTGTATTTGAACTATTTTAAGATCTCTTCTATTCCTGTAGCTTGGCTTATGGGCAACTTAATTTTGCGACTGCCTAATCAGCAAGCTTCTGCTTGCACCCTACAAGGAAACGTAGCTATCACAACCTAAATGATCACACATTAAAGACTATAATCAAGTTCCCACTTCAAGGTTTTGACTATGGTACTTAAATTTACTGGTACAGTAACTGTTCAAAAAGCAACTGAGAACGAGTGGGTCAGTGGTGCCCTGAATATGAATGTTTTTTTAATCATTGTGTTTGATCATATGCTTATTGTACAGTAATTTGTAAATTTTTTACAAATAAATGTTTGCAAATAATTGATTAAGCACATGGTAAACATATAAAGATGTATGCATTGAGATTTATTGCTACCTGTCATATACCTGGCGATGAGCCTGGGGATCAACATCGCCGCCGCTTGGTCTCTGACCAGGTCTCCGGGTTAGTGGTCTGGTCAGTTGGGCAGTTCAATTCGGCTGCTTGCAGCCTGATGTCACAGTCTGGTTATCAGGTATTCTTTGAAATTGTTTATTAAGTTCTGTTTTGAACACTGCAAGAAGTCAGCCAGTTATGCCCCATATGTGCATGACGAACGTGTTGAACAGTCTTTGGCCTTTGATGTTGATTGAGTTCTCTTTGTGTGCCTATTGCACCTTTGCTTTTCACTGTGACTATTTTGCATATCCTGCCATGCCTTCTGGTCTCATGTGGTGTAATTTGTGTATGCAGATTTGGAACCAGTCCTAGTATTTTCCAAGTATAAATTATTATGTATAACGTCTGCCTGCACTCTAAGGAATGCAGATTTCAAATTTTTAAACAATCCCAATAGTTTAGATGTCTTATTGAGTGTATTCTAGCAGTAAAAGGTCTTTGCACCCTCTCCAGGTCAGCAATTTCTCCAGCTTTAAATGGAGCTGTTACTGTGCATCAGTATTCCACTAGAGAGCACTAGTGTCTTAAGTATCATCATTGGTTAGATTTTACACAGTGTCATAGAAATCAGATGGTTTTTGAATGTTTCCCATAAAAATTAATGTGAATTGGGCCCCCTTAATTGGGTCATTTATATTAGCTATTTGTATATTTTTCTTTTGTTTGACAGGTTCCTGTTATCCAACCTGGCATTTTTCTTGCAAGTGGGAAAGCTACTTTGTTGTGTTCTTTAAAAGTACAAGTAAAGGCTTCAGACATGATTACTCTTAAATCTTTTACATTACTTTTTCTTTCAATAGTGTGATATGACTGTTTTATGTGGCTTATGTTTTGATATTTAAATTTTTCCCAAAATGCAGTAACTAGAACTTGTCCTTATTAAACATCCTATCATTTTCTGAGGCCCTTTGAAAGAATTAATTATCAGAGTGGAGGTTTGCCATGTCCTCTATATTGTCTACTTGTATGAAAATCCTAGTGTCATCTGCAAAGGGTGATATAGTGCTATAGTTTGCATTGTTGTTTGTCTCATATGAAAATGGGAAAAAGTACCAGAGCAAGTATAGTACCTTGGTGGACTGAGCATTTTCACTGTGGATGATTCGAATTTTACTTTGTTGACTATTACACTCTGGGTTCTGTTCATCAGGAAGTCAAAGGTCCATCTCCCTACATAATTTTGCCTAGAGCAGCAAGTTAGAGCTGCAGAACAAGGAGGATAAGATCAAGGGTTTCAAATGGGTTAGGTACATAAACAAGGGGATGTAAACAGGGTTCTGAAACAGTTGGAACAGGTAGAGATATAGTGAAATAGGGTTGTGAGTGATTAAATTGTGGTTGCCCTGCTCTGATTCCTTGGATTGACATATCTGTGGCCTGGACTTTGACCAGGTTTCCTGGTTGGTGGTTTGGTCAACCAGGCAGTTAGACACAGCTTCTTGCAGCCAGACTCATGAATCACAGCCCTGTTGATCAGGTATGATTTAGGAGGCGTTTATCAAATTTCATTTGAATACTGAGAGGTTGGGTGTTTATGCTGCCATTTACAGTAGTATTATTGAAATAAACATTTGGACAGATTTTGAGAATAGATTTGATAGATACATTGGTGAGTAGCCCATTTTCTTGATGACATGCTTAGAATTTGAAGTGATTTTGTTTGAACATTATGGCTCAACCTAAATAATCCATCTAACCTCTCGAGGCTGATGCTCATTTGATTGACAATTTAAAAATTGAGATGCATTGGGTGAGGAAAAAGGTTGGTGAGGTGGGATGGATTTTAACAGGCGCCACTAATATGGACCAATGGCTTGCTGCGGTGCTCTCTAATTCTTGTTCTTATTCAATGTTGATTTTTGCTAATATTTTAATTTTAGCTATTGTTTATACAAGGTATGTTGTTTGTCTGGAAACATTTGAATGTAAAACAATCTTCTATTACATTGTGAAAAATTATAATTACATAATTGGTTTCCTCTGTAATTTAAACAATCAGTGTTGCAGTATGTAATTACTTATCAATGAATTTGCTAATTTTGTTTGCTGGTCTATGATTGGGTTATATACAATATCCACTAAGTTACAACACCAAATGTCACCTAAATTCCCAACGGAGTCACTACAAACACGCGAGATCTGGATGGTGACACTTTCATCGAGCCCTGAGTACTAGGGAGTGGAAGTGTTGCCTATGCATTATCAGAACTAAAAGGTATTTGTTATAGAATTTTGTTTATTTGTATATTTTAATACATATACTGTACTGTAATTTATCCTGTATTCCTACAGAGGATGATGGTAGGCTGATAAAATAATGTCTGTAGCCGCCAATGCCAACCACCTTCACCAGCTGAGTGTCACAGGTAAGTGGTAGGCCTGCTACCTTTTGGTAATTCAGAGAATTGTAAATAAATCATGCTCATTCGTGAAGTGCTACTATTTTTCTGTACTTTTTGTTCATGACATGCCATGTATGGTGAGTTTTAAGGGACCTGAATCACTGGCATCGGCAAAAAAGTTGAAAAGAACTTGAGATACAGTAAAACATGTCTAAAATTAGTTGGAAAATTTGGCAAAACACTGGTGCAAAAAAAATAAGCCTTTATATATAGTTTAGTATGCTCTGTTGGCTATAAATATATTGGTTACGTACTGTAATTTTTTCTCCGTTGTTTGATTCATGATTTTCCTGAAACATCTAGATATAGCCCCACCAATAATCATGTGAAGTTGAAAAGAAATTGAGCAATATTTACTCTATTTACTGGTTGTCTTTTTACTCAATAGTATGATTGTACATCTTTTAAAACTTTCGAGTTTTGTTATTTACGAATTTTCATGAAATTTATATACAGTATGTTCTTCATATAGAGTAGAACCTCGACTTACAAATGCCTGGCTTACAAATTTTTTGAGTTACAACCCCAATTTCGTCGGAAAATTCAACTCGGGCCTTTTGCCTCGACTTGTGACTTTCTTGATACACATATGGGTCGACCGAGCGCGTGGCGCGCTTCAATTTACCAGTGTCTCCTGCCTAATGACAATCAGGCTTGAATTCTTTGTAAAGAATTTTATTGTTTTTCTGCTTTTTTGTTTTGTTTTTGAACATAAAAGTAATTGCAGTATTATATATAATGCCATCGGGTCCCAAGAAAAGTCAGTGGTAAGGTTCAACCTAAGAAAATAGTTGAGTTGAGGCAGTAGAGGATGTCCCTTCCTCATTAAGAAAATGTGTGAAGTATGGTAAGAACTGCAAAGTTTTGTTGAAAAAACTCGCCTAGATAAAGCTGTAGCAGGCCGTTGCATTGACCTTTTGAATAGCAATGTGAGATCTCGCTACAGACAAGTGTTAAAATGTAGGGAAAAACAAGTCTTTAGACAGATACTTAGTAAGACAAGCAAGCAGTGAACCACAACCAGGTCCTAGTGGTATGCAGGCAAAATGTAGGGGAGAGAGTACCCCCAAAGAAGTCATCATTGCCTGATGTTATAATGGAAGGGGACTCCCCTTCCAAACACTAACACCTCTCCTCCTTCCCCCCCTCCTCACCGTCTACCATACGTCAACAAGAGTCATCAGTAAAGGTAAGTTATGACTTGTACATACTATAGCACTAAATATTTGTGTGACTTAGGTATGAAATGTATTTTGAAGTTAATATTTTTGGGATTGTGGAATAGATTAATTCAATTTACATTACATGTATTTCTTACGGGAAAATTTGTTTAGGGTTACGAATCGTCTCTGGGAATGGAACAGATTAAATTCGTAAGCGGAGGGGCCATTGTAATTCATTATAATAGTTCATTGTGTTGAGGGACAGGTAGCCAGTTTATATACACATCTTAGGCTTATATCGAGGTGCACAACCAAGGTCAACCCAGGATGCAACCTCACAATAAGTTTACCAACTCCTGGGTACCTACTTACTGCTAGATGAATCACAGGTTTCAGATGTGATTCATTTGAATCACATTCAAATGGTCTGAAAACAAATTTCCCACAAATATGGAATTTTGTAAAAAAAAAAAAAAGGTTCCCCTTTCACAAATTCTCATATTAATCGGAAAAGTTTTACTAGGTGATAGGAAATGCACCCAGCCATTATTGTCCCGGCCGGGATTTGAACGCAGAATTCTTGATTAAGAGTTGGGAACGAAGCCGTCTACAAAAGATAGAAATTAAGAATTTTTTTAAAGTGAATAAACCATTATAGGAGTTTACAATGCCAGTGCAAGTTAATGGTATGAGCAATGCTGTATTTATTTCTGAACTTAAAAATAGTTTTAAACATGTAAATATTGAATTTTGCAAGATTTTAACATTTTTGTTTGTAAAGAAAAGAATTAATTTGCACTCATTCATTACATTCATCTAATTGTATTGAACAGTACTGTATTTTATTTGACTTAAATTTTTTGTTTCTAGATACTGTACACAGTTTTTGACAAGTATGGGCTGCCTTACTCGAGGAAGTGCATACTTATGGTATAAAAGGAATGATAGTTGTGGGTGAAATATGGGAGACAGAAGTTAGCACTGGGTATATGTTGTCAGGGGATTCCCTGGCTTTCTGAAAGGGCACAGCTGGTAGGCTCATTTGGCCCCAGATATTCATAGTGAGCACTTGTGCTGCACGTCCCTCTCTGGCACCTTGTCATGTTATTGCAGTTAATAGTGGTATTAGTGTTACATTGTTGTTATGGCATCCATAACTACATGGGTGCCATAACTATGAATGCTGGGGGACCAGATGAGCTTATCAGCTGTGTGCTTCCAGGAAGTCGGGAAACCCCCTGATGTCATGTACCCAGCACTAATTTCCGTATCACATATTTCGCCCCCACAACTATCATTCCTATTATACCATAAGTATGCACAACCTCGAGTAGGGTGGCCCTTGCTTCTGTTGAGTACTGTATACTCATTATAACCCAATTTCAAAAATTTTGTGGTAAGGGGCACTTGTCCTGTTTTCAAAATAGAAAAAAATACTTGAATCACTTCAATTTCAGGCATTTGAGAGCATCGCCACATAGGGCCAAGAATGGTCTGCATCTGTAATGTCAATGTTCAAATTGACTTTTGTAAAGGAATTACTGTACAGTTTGTATCTAGTTAATGGCCAGTGAAATTTTTTTACTTTGAGTTGTAAGTGTGCTTGAAGATTTAAATGCCGTGATGCAGATGGTTTACCCATTACAATACTGTTCTCTTTCCCCATATATTGTTTATGATTTATATTTTGTATATCTTTATTTCAGCTGTAAGTGGGGAATTGTCTGGCATAAGCAGCATCTTCAATAAACCATCAGCATATGTGGAACTTCTGGTGGATGGTGTGCAACAGAAGAAGACTCAGCACATTAAACATAATGCTCATCCAAAATGGAATGAATCGTGCACAGTGTAAGTATGGCAGAAAACTATACTGTACAGTACTTTCTTTATACTTTTCATAAATTATAATTACTGTACCACATAATACAAATTATTGAATTCTGGATTTTCAATCCAGTGAAACCTATTTTGGTTAAACGTCAGATGCAATAGATAGATTACTATATGATTAGTGTTATTTGCAATGGATTAAACATCCAGATAATTTAAATGTAGTTTTTCCAGTTAATTTTGTACTCGCCTAGTTATACTTGCCTTGTTGTGCTTGTAGGAGGTTGAGCTTCGGCTCTTTGGTCTCGCCTCTCGACTGTCAATGAACTGGTGTACAGGTTCCTGAGTGTTTTCATAATATTGTGTGCAGAAATTTTCTAGCATTTATACAAACAGAAACATATTGTGGCAAAAAATAGGAATGTCAAGTTGTTAAATGTTCCTTTCTGAGCTGAGCCCTTGGATACTCCCAGAGCAAAAGTCTGTATGATATCCAAGACTCCTATCACCTGCCAGGCTCTCATAGCTTTTATTCCCATTGTAATGGGGGATCTCTGCTATAGTGGTGTGTGTATGTAAGTGTGTGTGTGATAAAATATTTATGCAACATCATATAATTATTGTTTTACACAACTAGTCTGTTATTCTGTAATGTTATCCTCAGATTGGTAACCAAAGACTCGGTACTGGTATTTCGTGTCAGTGACCATCACACACTGGTACGAGATTCTTTGATCGGGGAGGCTATTCTTAACCTAGCTGATGTTGTAGCTAAGAGTGATGGCAAGTCTAGCTCCTCTCACACCCTTTCCCTCAGCCCACCAGCCAGTAATGTACCATCAGTTGGTAAGTATTGTTTCTATTTGAAAATATTTATGTAGAATGAAGACAAATGTGGGATTTTGAGGGTTATAATTTTTTTTTAGTGGAAGAACTGAATTGTACTCGATTGCAGACTTTTTGCTTACATTGTGTGAATACTAAATCAATTGAACAATTTTACCAGTTACTCCTTGTCACATTGTGATAGATTACAGCAAAGGTAGCATTTAAATCTCTTATTTCTTATATATTGCTTTAGGTTTACTGATGTTGATGCAACAATTGCAATTTTGAGTGATTATCCATTAATAAAAAATTGGTTCAATACCAATGAACTAATATATTATATTCAGTATAGTGTAGCTCCTTTCATCCGACTATCATTTATATATAATTCTTCTTTATTTGTAAATAATTGTATATGAGAGTTATGTACTAGATATAATTTGAATAGACTTTATACACAGCAAGTGGATTCTCATATGATCAGGGGAGTGTTTTTGGTGCCCAGCCTTCATTAGAATCAAATATAAATAACTTAACCAAATCAAATAAACTATCCAAACTATCTCACTCTAAATAAAAGTAAACATTGTATTTCTCCCATCTTATTAGGGTCATGAATAAATGTGGGAAATCCATGAATGATGTGGCAAAATATCTATGTACAGAGTCAATGTTCAGTATTACTGCCATATAGTTGAAATTGCTTTGCTCTTTTCCTGATAATTATGTTACGTGTTCAGTGCCTCGCACCACTTTCACAAATTATATGACTCGTGTTAGCCTCACCTCTATTGCCTATTCGCGTCTATCCACATCCCTTTGTTTTTATGCACACAATCAATCCAGTCACATTATTTTAACTTAAAGTTATATTAATACAAGGTTTTGTAATATCAAAAGGTATAAATCAAAAATTTTGTGTAAGAAGTGATGAAGGACTTGAACTTTGTGAAGCTTGGAGGTCTCTCACCCAAAGATGACTGAAAATGGCCTATGTTGTCTGCCTACATAAGGTTTGCTAGCTCCATCATGAAATAAACCTATTCAAGTTATTTCACAATAAATAAAGTGAAAGTTGATAGAAATAATGTTAATTAACCTTTTATGATCATCTAGATGGGGCACCCAAAGGTGCCAGGGGTACACCCCAAAATTTTACTCCATGGGGTCCAATTCCAACATGTCTATGACAGTCCTTCCTCTATAGTCACACTACACTTGGTAATCCAAATCATATGGGGCTCACCCCCCATTCGAAATAGCCAAATTTCTCATCAGGAATATCCAAAAATGGACAGATTTGCAATTTTTGTGCCACAACTCTATTACTACTACTATCATTTACCCCCCTTGCACTCCAGCCAGTTTTCCATGCATTCCTGCCATTTATCCATGCACTCCTGCCATTTACTCACTCCTGCTATATCCCTTCTCACTCCTGCCATATACTCTCACACTCCTGCCCCATTTACCATTTATACACTCCTGACATTTGCCATTTGCTTCAAAATATTGAATTCAAATTCATTCAGATTATTTGAAGATTTGGGTTCAGATTATCCTGATCTTAAAGTATCCAAGATGAATAAAACAACAAATTCTAGGGGGCTCGGCTAGCCTCCTTTCATTGATTTTATGGGGAAGGTTTAACATGAGGGCCAACTTCCTTTTAATGGGTGCAATGGTGGTTGACCCCAACCCACCTATGTGGGTCCCCTAACCTTCACCAATCACCCTGCAAAGTTGGGTGAGGCAAGCCCAAAGCATCTGGCCTCCAACCTTGTACACACACACACACACCCATGTAGGAAGTGGGAATTTCCCATAAATATGGGAATTTGTAAAAAGGATCCTCCTCTTGCAAATTCTCATATTAACCAAAAACAACAAATGTGAAAAAATTTAATTATCAATTTAAGTATTGATGAACATGAGAAAGTTGTGTTCAGCATTGTTGTACTATATGTGGAGAGATGGCTGGAATTCCCTCACTGCTAGCCATCCCTGGCCTTCCTTAACTACTTTCACTTCATTCTTCACACATAATTGTTCTATCCACACTATGCTGTAATTAAGAAATATAATACATTCACAGTCTTGTAATGCCATGAGCTAACGAAGCATATCTGTATCATATAACAAATGAGGGATTGTTGCTGTTGCCTCTGACACTCATATAATGTTAACTATTACTTTAGACCACAAATAAGTATATTTACACTATCCCATTGTAAGTAACGTGAGAGGTGGGAGAAATAGCATGTGATTACGGTACTGCAAGAACCTTTAACAAATGGGAAGTTATATAGAGAGAAGCCTGAAACTCCCTAATATTACCAGCCTTGCCTAACTTCCCTGCCATCATTTCTTTAAACTAGATTTTTTGTCTTATATAGACATCTCTAGCATGCATTAGTCTTGATAAATGGGGTAGCACTGTATATAGCAATGCCTACTTTACTAATTTTTTTTTCAGTTTCACCAACTCCCACCATAACTGTCTCACTTGATGGTCTACGCACCTTTACTACTAGACAAAGAGAAACAAATTATAATCTTCCAACAGGTAATCATTGTCATGTATCTTTTAGTTTTACTCTTATCATTATTACCTTTTGTTAATATAGTAATAAATTGTAGATACAGTAGTTTACCTTATGCTCCAGAAACTAGTTTAAACTTAATATAAAACACCAACACTGCCTCTTTAGTGAGAATTGACCCTTTAATTGCTAAGCCAGTATGATAACCACTGTGCCAAACTTAAGTGACTCCATTCATGTACCGGATTATCTTGTTAGCTATCATAATATAAGTATTATATGAGAACTTTTGCCACATTGCTCAACTGCAGCTCATTTTAGAACTTAATGGCCATGCTGACTTAATGTTGTCTTCAAATAATTACTTAAAGTACTTGCTGCTCACTTGGTAGTCAATATTAGTTTAGTTTTCTTTGTGTATCTTTCATTTGTCTTCTGTGTTCCTTATTTTAAAGCATTTTTTGTAAGTTCTGTACTGTACTTGTCAAAGTAAAATTGCTGCTGCAGATGTATATTGATGTTGTTTGTAAGTAATACTGCAGTATGTATTGTATTAGGCATGTTAATAGACAAGGGCTGTCTTTTAATATTTCCTTACATTTTCTTATGTTCTGGGCTTTTCTTACATTTTCTCCAGGTGTGCATACAAAAATAATAATCTTTATGTGATAGATATGGATATAAAATGAAGATACTGTACAGAGAAACCTTGGTACTGTTCTGTACTTGAATGGCTCCCAAATCGAACAATTCAGCACTCAAATGCTGTGTTCATGCTTAGTAGTCGACCATTTGTTCGGCACTCATTTGTCAACACACATAATGGAAGTTGCGACAAAAATTTATATCAACATATAACTACGATAAAAATTGACAGAGGTGATTACACTGGTGACAATATGTCTTAAGTACTAATATTGGGGAAGTAGGTAGAACAAGATACAACGTGAGTTTGAAGCACAAGGTAGGAAACTACAAGGATGAAATTAGGTACTTTTTGGGTTTACTTTTGAATAAGGCATAGGTTGGACAATTTTTTAATTTATTAGGAAGCGAGTTCCATAGTGGGGTCCCTTTATTTGCATGGAGTGTTTACACAGATTTAGTTTAACTCTGGGGATATCAGAGATATTTATTTCTAGTGTGGTGCTCATTGGTTCTATTACACATACGAAGGTAAAGTTTCAGATCAAGATTAGCACTTAGGAACACGGTTTTTTTCCATGTAAATAGCACATGAGAATGTGTGAAGTGAGTGTATGTTTAGCATGTTAAGGGACTTGAACAGAGGGGGAAGTGTGTTGTCTGAAGACAGTTAATTATTCTATTCAGATTTCTAATTATGTACTGTATACAAGAATTATATACATCAAGCATTCATCAGTTCACATAGGACTTCTTACACTTTGATGGCATACTAAAGTATTGTATAGTACAATATTCTCTTCTGTTTCCTTTCACTAGGTATTCTCAGTGTATTTACATTTGCAGCTTACACCAAAAAATGCTGCATTCCTCTATCACACTGGCTTTGCCGTATCAAATTGGAGATGTTTGTGGTACAATGTTTCTCCTCTTAACATCCAGTGCTGTCTGCATTGCATTGTGCTTCATTCCATCACCACTACCATTGCTCCCACCACAGTCACCACAAGCATATAATTACCAGTAGCGCCTCAATCACTAAAAATCACTATGATGCTATTTTTTATCAGAAATAGTAGCTTGTAGTTATTAGTTCTTGCAAAAACATTGTGAATTTACATGTCATCAGTGAACACTTAAGTACTCATGCCGCACACACTGTAAGCGTGCATATCGGCATTAGACATAGTAGGCAAATATTTACTGACGGCACAGGAAATAAACTAGGGAACTCGTTATATTTTTCCAATATGCCAGACTGTTATCAGAGACATCTAGGGATGGAAAATATAACTATACACCTGCCTTGACTTCTAAATAACTTGGGATGTAGGAAATTTTCTTTGGACTATCAGAGCAGTTGCTTGGTTAATGTCTTTGGATGATGGGAACAGCATAAGGGTTAAAGCTTTAGTGTTTGTTGTACAGCATTCTTTTACTCTCTTCATATATTGTACTCTCATTCATGCATTATTTAATGACATGCATTGGCAACACTTAATTGAGATGTATTAAGTTTCACATAATTTTTGTTCTGTTCGTATTGTTTATAATGTTTTGAGAATCTATATTAATTTTTTATCTTTAATTTGTATATATTTGTATTATCTTAAGTCATGGTTATATCTTTTTGCAGTTGTAAATGTTAGTGGTGGTAATATTAGTGGTGGGAACACTGTAACAGTTCGTGTAGGAGGCAAAACTCCCCCGCCAGTCCCACCTCCACCTCGGCAAATTCAACCAGATGCAAATCCTAGAGAAATATTACCTGCGATACCCTCGGCCATTGGTCCATCTTCTTCAGTGTCCACTATCACCCACACTTCTGGAGTGCAAACCCCACAACCACAGCTTCCTGCAATTAACAGTGATGGCCAGTCTTCTTCCACCCATCCAAGTGTGCGCCCAAGGAAAAGTGTTGTCAATGGATCAGCCGTTTTAGTCTTAGGAGGAGAGAGCCCTACTGAAGGCTGTGCGAGTCAAAATGGAACTCCAAATGGTACACCAAATGGACCAAGTGTAACTACCAGATCATCGTCATCTACTCCAACAGCTACCCCAGTCGTGCCTCAAGCCAGTCACCAGGCAACACATCCCGCACTTCCCAGCAACAGCACCATCAATGGTCAGCTTCCTACAAGCACAGTCTCTTCAGCTTCCTCTTCGCCTGTGCCCAGACCCACTCCTCCTGTGGTTGCACCCAGAGCACCAAATCGCCACCACCGAGCCCACAAAACTAAGCGTAACTCAGGTTTGTTCTTTTTTTTTTTTTTTTTTTAGCAGTGTTTTGAAATAGACAAGTGGACTTTAATGTCCACCTGTTCAGTTCAAGTGATGGACTGAACAAGGACTGGTGGACTGGACATTATGGACTTATTAAAGTCCATAATGATGAACTTTAATAGTCAATCATTATTAACCTTGATGAAGTGAGGGTAAATCATTACACCTTGGTAGGCCACCATTTGCACACACAAAAGATAGTTGGTATAAATGTCCTTTCATGCAGACTTAATTCTTGCTTTTTTTGTTTAAACCTTTTACACGTATCTAAAATATATATACTAATATATATGATATATTTGTGTTTCTATATCTCTTTATTTGCCTTTATTTATCTTTGTGTTTATTGTCATTTAATATTAATCAGCAGATGGTAGTAATAGTGCAGCTCCAGCCAGTGGTGGTAGTGGAGGAAATAGCAGTAATGGGGCTGCCAGTTCAACGTCCAGTGGAGGAGGTAGTAACGCTACTAGTCAACCTAATGCTGCAAGTGGTCAAGAAGACCCTCTTCCTCCAGGGTCTGTTTATTCTTATGCATATTAACTGTATTAGGGGAAGATGTATTAAAATATTTTAGATTGATAGTAAATTGCTCTTGGTGCTGACAATATGAAGCTTATTGAATTTGTGCTTGACTATAGTAGTATTATTGCTTAACCAGTAATATTATTGTAATATATTTTCAGTTGGGAAATGAGATATGATCATTATGGGAGGCGCTATTATGTAGATCATACGACCCGTTCCACCACCTGGGAGAGACCAAAACCATTACCTGTTGGTTGGGAGGCACGTAGAGATCCTCGGGGACGAGTCTATTATGTTGATCATAATACTCGGACTACCACCTGGCAACGACCAACTGTGGAAAATATTAGGTAAATACTTATTGCTTTGATATACATGTATTATACATTGTAATAAGTTCTTTGTTCTCTTACCCATCTTCCCACAGAGTGTTTTGTTGTTTTTTTCTCTTGTGAGTTAGCTTGAGGAGATACAGAAGGAGCCCTCCCAAAAGTGCAGTGTTGAATGTAACGAAATGCCTCTTTCTGATGGACTCCTGTGTATCTATCCGATCCTGCCTTTGTCCTCTTCTCATAGTGCTTTGGGTTTGTTGTTTTGGTAGTGCACGAATGTACTGATTAGCTGCCCAGAACTTCCATTTGGTGGCAAGGAAGTGAAGCTGGTGAAGTGGTTAGACCTAGATAATGAGTGTTTGAATCAAGGGTTCCAAATGTTGTACAAGCAGTTTCTCATTTTGTCATATTGTACCTTGCTGATGGTTTTTCACTTCAGTGATGTGTTGATCTTGTTCCCTGCTCCCCTATACCTGTACTGACTGCTCCAGGTTCTGGTCCTGGTCTCCAGTAGGTGCTAGTAATTTGTTAGAGCCTGGTGTGGTACCTATTGTTTAAAAGATTCCAGGTAGAATCTCTTAAACAATAGCTCGGGAAGATTCAGAGGGGCCCCACCTCAGGCATATTTCATTACATTCAATGGCAGATTTTTTAGGTTGCACTGAATGTGCAGGGTGCCAGATGCATGATTCTGGTTTTAACTGGGAATTTGTAATAAGCCTAGCCTAATTAATTTGACTTAATCAAATACCATAATGTTCTGTGCATCAGCCTTGAAAACAATTATCACTGCATATGACATTGGGCACGTTGATCCCTTAGTAATTACCTAAGTGTAATTACCTAAGTGTAGTTACAGGATGAGAGCTACGCTCGTGGTGTCCCGTCTTCCCAGCACTCTTTGTCATATAACGCTTTGAAACTACTGACGGTCTTGGCCTCCACCACCTTCTCACTTAACTTGTTCCAACCGTCTACCACTCTATTTGCGAAGGTGAATTTTCTTATATTTCTTCGGCATCTGTGTTTAGCTAGTTTAAATCTATGGCCTCTTGTTCTTGAAGTTCCAGGTCTCAGGAAGTCTTCCCTGTCGATTTTATCAATTCCTGTTACTATTTTGTACGTAGTGATCATATCACCTCTTTTTCTTCTGTCTTCTAGTTTTGGCATATTTAATGCTTCTAACCTCTCCTTGTAGCTCTTGCCCTTCAGTTCTGGGAGCCACTTAGTAGCATGTCTTTGCACCTTTTCCAGTTTGTTGATGTGCTTCTTAAGATATGGGCACCACACAACAGCTGCATATTCTAGCTTTGGCCTAACAAAAGTCATGAACAATTTCTTTAGTATATCGCCATCCATGTATTTAAATGCAATTCTGAAGTTAGAAAGCATTGCATAGGCTCCTTGCACAATATTCTTAATGTGGTCCTCAGGTGATAGTTTTCTATCTAGAACCACTCCTAGATCTCTTTCTTTATCAGAATTCTTTAAAGATTTCTCACATAATATATAGGTTGTGTGGGGTCTATGTTCTCCTATTCCACATTCCATAACATGACATTTATTAACATTAAATTCCATTTGCCAAGTGGTGCTCCATATACTTATTTTGTCCAGGTCTTCTTGAAGGGCATGACAATCATCTAAATTTCTTATCCTTCCTATTATCTTAGCATCATCAGCAAACATGTTCATATAATTCTGTATACCAACTGGTAGATCATTTATGTACACAATAAACATCACTGGTGCAAGAACTGAACCCTGTGGTACTCCACTTGTGACATTTCTCCATTCCGATACATTGCCTCTGATTACTGCCCTCATTTTTCTATCAGTCAGAAAATTTTTCATCCATGATAGAAGCTTACCTGTCACCCCTCCAATATTTTCCAGTTTCCAGAACAACCTCTTATGTGGAACTCTGTCGAAAGCCTTTTTTAGGTCCAGATAGATGCAGTCAACCCAGCCATCTCTTTCCTGTAAAATCTCTGTGGCCCGATCATAGAAACTGAGTAAATTCGATACACAGGATCTTCCTGATCGAAAACCATACTGTCTGTCTGATATTATATCATTTCTCTCCAGGTGTTCTACCCATTTAGTTTTGATTAGCTTTTCCAATACTTTCACTATTACACTTGTCAATGATACAGGTCTATAATTGAGGGGGTCTTCCCTGCTGCCACTTTTGTAGATTGGAACTATGTTAGCCTGTTTCCACACGTCTGCTACGATTCCTGTACACAGGGATGCCTGAAAAATCAGGTGAAGTGGAATGCTGAGCTCAGATGCACATTCTCTCAGAACCCATGGTGAAACGCCATCTGGGCCAGCTGCTTTGTTCCTCCCGAGCTCCTTTAGCATATTTTCCACTTCATCTCTAGACACCTCTATCCGCTCTATGTTGTTCTCTGGAATTCTTATTGTGTCTGGTTCTCTGAAGATTTCATTTTGTACAAACACACTTTGGAACTTTTCATTTAATGTTTCACACATTTCCTTTTCATTTTCCGTGAATCTGTTTCCCATTTCCAACCTCTGGATATTATCCTTTACCTGCAATTTGTTGTTTATGAATTTGTAGAATAGGCCCGGTTCTGTTTTACATTTATCTGCTATCCCTTTTTCAAAATTTCTTTCTGCCTCTCTCCTTACTGCTGTATAATTGTTTCTCGCATCTTTGTATCGCTGGTATGTTTGGGGGTTTGGCCTCTTCCTATACTGATTCCATTTTTGTGTCTTTTGGTCTCTTGCCCTCTCACAATTTCTGTCGAACCAATCCTGTTTTCTGGTCCTGCATCTCTGTTTTGGTATAAATTTTTTTGTGCCTTTATCATATATTTCACAAAACTTGCCATACATCTCATTCACTTCCTTGCCTAGCATCAAGTCTGTCCAATTATACTCACTAAAAAATTTCTAAGGTCACCATAATGTCCTCTCCTGAAGTCTGGTTTTTCAACTGCTTCAACCTCCTTATTTTCTTCCAGCTTATAACGCATTGCATACTTTATTCCCAAAAAGACATGGTCACTTTTACCCAAGGGAGGAAGGTACTGAATGTCAAATATCTCTTCCTCCTTCCTGGTAAATATCAAATCTAGCATGGAGGGAACGTCCCCTTCCCTCATCCTCGTAGCTTGTTTAACATGTTGATACAAGAATGTTTCCAGGATGAGGTCTACAAATTTACAGGTCCAAAAATCTTCTGTTTTAGCTTCATATGCTTCCCAGTCTATGGATTTCAAGTTGAAGTCACCGACTATCAACAGTCGTGATCTATCGTTATCCGCTCTCGCTATAATCTCTCTCATTATTGTTATAAGACCTTCACGTTTACTATCTAGCTCCTCCTTTGACCATGTGCTGCTTGGCGGTGGACTATATGCATTTATCATCATTAGTTTATCATCCTCATAGCAGATCTCTAGTGCTATTATGTCAACTTCTTGTGGATTGGCAGTCATTATTTCCTTCACCTTTAGGTGTTCTTTTACCAGCACAGCAACGCCACCGCCTTTCCTAATTTTTCTGTCCCGTCTCCAAATTGAGTAGCCCCTTGGGAATATGACCTCATTTAAAATTACATCTTCAAGTTTTGTCTCCGTGAGTGCAACAATGTCTGGTGTCTGCAGCTGTATTACATCACTTAACTCCAGTATCTTCGATCTCACTCCATCTATGTTGGTGTATGCAATCTTCAGGAACTTGTTCCCCCTCTCCTTATTCTTCACTCCCCCTCTCTCTATTGATTTTGTTGGTTTGCCTTTATGTACCACTTTACTGGTTTGCCTACCCCTATCACTTTGTAGAAAAAAGAATTTATTTCTTCTTCATTCCTGCTCTCATTTAAATGTTTTGCCTCGGCGAGGTTCAGTTTCAGCTTCTCTCTATCTTCTTTTGAAAGATCTCGTCTTAACGACCACCCTTTCCCATCCTCATCCCTTTGCAATTTTCTAGCATTCCTTAGTACTTCTTCCATCTGTTTGGCACCGTTTAGGGTGATCCTCAAAGGTCGATCTTTCCCTTTTACGTACCTGCCTATTCTCCTGTAGTCGCACACATTCTCTCTGTTTGTAAGACCTTCCACGAGGCCAACAATTTTATCTACTACTTTAGCTTCTTCTACAGCTCTTTCTGACCTAGATGTTATCGCCTTTTCTTTGCAGCCAAAAATGATCAGGGACTTACTCCGATCAACTGTGTTTTGCACCAACTTCGGGTTAGATGCCAATTCTTTCCTCACTTCCAGCCTAATGTTTGTTTTATCTTGGTTGCTGCATTGTTTGACTTCCTTTACTGCTTCTTCTATTTTTTCCTTCTCCTTGGCCACTTGTGCATAAGTGAGTTGCATATCTTTCTTGCACTGTTCTATTCCCTGTGTAACTTCCTCCATCTGTGCTGACAAAAGCTGTTTCTCCTGTTGAATTTCCTTGCCTAACCTATTGTAGTCATTTATGTTTAAATTTACTTTAACTTCTTCCAAAGCTATTTTTAAGAGTTTATTTTCTTCTTCCATGGCTTTGCAATTTGTTTCCAATTGATTCTTATCCTTGCGCAAGTCTTTCACTAAACCCTCAAGACATAAAACTTTGCTATTCAAATGGTCATTACTTTCTTTCAATTTACTAATTATTTCTACATGAGAGTTCACTATAGTATCTAAATTTACCAACTTGTTATGTAGACTACTAATATCAATGCTTTCTTCATTGAATCCCTCAAAATCAAGCTCTGTTTTGTTTTTCCCCTTGCCAGTGGCCATCTTGAATGTTCTTCTCTGCACTGTAAACACTAGGGCAACTTTTTCTCATCTGATTTTTCACTTCCCTTAGCACTTTCCTGTTATCTCACCTATTTTTCAAGAGCACTATACCTTTATGTTCTGTGGGACACCACTCACTACCATCAACCTGTACTACAATACTTAGGATTGTTGAAATATGCTGGAGCTCCTCTGCTGCAAGTGTTGACCCTAGGGGTGTCACCTTTTTGAATCTGTGATTGTAATACTGTGTGCTGAATTTATATACTGATTGAAAATTGCTCATTTTTTGTTCATTGGGTACAATAAATTACCCTGAATACTTATCTTCCTCTACATGTATTAAATCTAAAATCTTGGACAATCATCTCTGAGTCCTGTTTAATATTTGTTAACTCTTTTCAGGCAATATGAAGAATGGCAGGGTGAGCGGCAACACATTGCCCAGTTGAGTTCTCAGCGATTCCTTTACCCTAATCAAAACCAAGAAACAGACAATAATGATCCACTTGGACCCTTGCCATCTGTAAGTTAAACACATTAACGATTATTTTATTACACAGAAAGTAATCAGTAGAACTCCAGGTTGCAATCCTTATACCATGTCGTGGTTTAGTCACTAGCGCATGTGCGTGGGAACACCCACTGCATAGGTTCGATCTCTCATCATGGCTCCTATGAGTTTTTTTAATTACGTATTTTATTCTTAATCATATTGTTGCTCCATTTAAGAGTTGTGTTATTCTGTCTCTCCCAGGATTATGTTGATCTTCCGTGCATTCTTTGCATCAGCGAACAGTGACAGGAGGTACATTTGGTACTGATGCCACAGGGGATTTGGTATCTATTCTAAACCATTTTAAGATGCTAAAGGGTTTCTGGAGCCAATTTTAATCCAGTTCAAATATTAGATACACCCAAACATCACTTAGTCCCATAAATGTTACTAACATGACTCAATCAACACAAATGCTTGCTTACTCTTCACCCTCACCAGATAACAGCACCAAAGTGACCCGAGCTTTGTATACTCCCACTGACCCCTCATACATCACAACTGCACAGACAGTAGTAGGAAGATGGAGACCACTTTTCAGTTAAGGTTAACTCTGTTAAGATTTGACCTCAATTAAGTAATCAGGATTGCTTGCCTGAGATTGGCTAGTGTTTGGGTATTATTTGAGTGTCCTTTGTGTATTTTTTGTTTTGCACAACTAAGTTTATGCTTTAGTAACATTAGCTGAGGAGTCTCCAACTGTGGTGAGTTCTTTTGCCATTAGGAGTATTAGTTGTGGAGCAAAAAGGTTGTCAAGATAAGCCTAGTAGTTTTATTGGATTATCCTTTTGTGGTCAATAAACCTTAATACCCTGTATTCCATTTGAGGGTTATCTTGAGGATTTTGGCAAGGCTTGAGTCGGAGATTCCTGGGTATATTTATTCAAGGTCTTACTTGGTGCTGCTACCCCAGGATTCTGGCTTGATAACTCAGACATGCACAAGGAGGACTGGTAAATGAGAGGAATACCACTGTGCAATCAGCTTTTCTTGGCTAAATATCCATCATATGCCAGTTTGGAAAAATAAGAACGTTTGAATGTTAACTTACTATTTCTCAGAATACATTTGTGCATATTTTTGGAGATGAGTGCAATATTAAGACTAGTTGAGGTAGAAGGAAAATAGTTGAGCATGGAAAAAACTAAATTACTGCATATAATTTGTTTTCATTTTGAGTTTAACTATTGTTCAATCGGTTACGGAATTCATGGCACTTTAAAAAAAAAAAAAAAATCTTGAGATTGGTGCATAAGAAAGAATGAAGATAGGAGCAAAAACTCCGAGCAGCGAGATTCTCTTAGTGGATATTCATCACATGAGGCAAAACTCAAGATTTTGCTCTATAGATGCAGCTTTATATGTAACCAAAGGTAATGGGACAAAAAATGTAAATCATTTAGTTTCATGTTATTTTTCAATTTAAAGTGCATTGTTTATATTTAAAAAAGTTGTAAAGATGATGCCTATTATTTGTGGTAAAAGAAGCACCCAATTTTTTTTTTTTTTTTTGCACAAAAATTGTATAAAATAACTAGGCAGTTAAAGCAAGGTCCAGTATACTTCAGGGAGCTTATTACAAGCTCAATGAATACATTTTTGGATGTTATACCTTGCAACATTTGTCTTCTCAAACTATTATAATTTTAATTATCTCGTTTTTCAATCTGAAAATATTTTGAATTGCTTCCCTAATACTGAAGCAATCGGTCTTGAATACTGTACTTCATTCCTTGTCCTTCCCGAGTCTTTTCTTTTAAGAATTGTCTTGATTTCACTGTTTTGGTTGTAGGTTATTCCACAAAATATATACTACTTCATATCTTGCTTTGAACTGATTGGTTGGTTCAGGGGCCTTAAATTTTAGAGGGATATTTTTGCTTCAGGTTGGCAGTTGCCATTTTTATTATTATCTGTGATATGCCATTTATTATCTGTGATATAGTTACTGTCATTTTCTCTGTGCAAAAAGATAGGATATTTTTATTTTCACATTCAGTATGTTGATATCACGATCACATGGAAATAGTTTATTTTTAATATAAAGTAAAGCTTGGTTGAATTTGGAAATTTATTGGAACTGCGACTCCTTATATTGTGGATTTTCCTTGTTGATCCTGGTTTCTGACCATATTAATTAAGACACAAGCTGATCATAATTCTTCTGTTGCATCTGAACTTCCATTAAATAGTTAAATTTGAACAGGGTATCACACTAGATTACAATACTACTTTATAAAGTATTTGATATGCAGTAATTATTTATCATTTTACTTTTTTGCTGTACTACAGGGATGGGAAAAAAGACAGGAGCCAAATGGAAGAATCTACTTTGTTAATCATCGTAATAGAACAACTCAGTGGGATGATCCACGAACTCAAGGGTAAGTGGTTGTGTACCATTACTGTTAGGCAGATGTTGAAACATCAAAATGTTTGAGGTGTTTTGACACACATCAGCTTTTCTCTGCAGCAACTGGTATTGAAAACTTTAACAAAATAACCTTCAAATATATATAAACCTATCCAAGCTATCTCGCTCTAAATCTATTCATCCTCCTGTTTAGAGAGTACCTTTTGTAACTACTGTATGTGGATCATTATACATATACTGTACTCATATTGTCATAAGGGACAATTAGTAGAATTTAGCGCTACTGTATTTCCTTTATAGAATCCAAAAAAATAAAGCTAAAATGCAAACTTGTATATTCTTAGGTCTAGTATAACACACACACACACACACACACACACACTATATTTACTCACCACAGTTGGAGACTCCCCAGCTAATGTTACTATAGCATGCATTAGGCCTAGAATGGTTAGGTTAGGTTCTTTTTATTAGCAACATAAATACAAAACCTTTTCTGGTTTGTCCAATTCATTAGTACCAAGTTCTACTTTCTCAATTGTTCATCACGTCAATATATATATACGATGGTCTTTATCACTACAGTCTAAACAGGAGAACGGGCTGCCTCATTCCTCGCTGTGGTCCCTTCATTATTTGCACTTAATGCATTCACACAGTTTTAATCATAAATAGTCTTATAATACCAGGAGCTGTAAATAACAGCATATTTGATGCTTATATTATTGCACTTGTTATATGATGCATTACATCATATAATCATCCTAGGCTTACATGGAAAAACTCAACTTCCAGGAGCAATGTCTGTGTTGTCCCTCCTAAGTCATAACTGCCATTGTGTCTTGTGACTGATAAACATGCCTCTCAATATTGCCAGGCATTGGAGTTATATATAGTATATTGATAAGGTAGAACAAATTATACTTTATATGAATTTCAAGCATTTTAATAGTAGCTATATAATGAATTATTTAAAATATTGAACATTTAACAGGCCTGACTTATGCTTCATTGTTCCAATGACAAAATTAGGATATTATTATGACGGCAATTACTTATAACTGTTTCCGTGATCACAATACTGGTAACGTTATAATTGTTCCTTACGTACTATATTGATATTATGCAGTGATTTATACACTTGCCCTTCTAGGTCTTTCATAAGAATAATTTTTTTTTCTCATTTGTCATATTCTAAGATTTGTATGTGTATGGTAGGGTTAGACTGGTAAATGTTTAATTCTCTGTGCAATACATGATCAGTTGTAATATGTTTATGGTATTCTAGTAAAGTCTAAAATTTCAAGTTAGTGGTTCTGATACAGCCAGTAGTTAAAATATTTCACTAGAAAATTACTCCCCACCCCATGCATTTCTAAAATTGTTTGCTAGTATTTTTGATAAGCATTTTAATTGTTTTTATTGTAGTGTTTACCTGTTATCTTTTCCAGTTAGCCTGAGATAGTGGTGGTGGGCAAGTTTGGCTCTGATAAATGAGCCAACATCTAAGCACTAGCCTTCACAGCATCTCCTGTGATTAGAGCACAAGTGAATACCAAGGCCTTCTTTATTTTCCCTTTTGTATACTGCCTTAAAGGTGTGTATCATCTTTTTTTTTTTTTCTAGGATGGTCTTGGAAGAAGAAGCTCTTCCAGCTGGATGGGAAATGCGTCTCACAGAAGATGGGCGGCAGTATTTTGTTGATCATAATACCCGACAAACAACTTTCCAAGATCCCCGGCCTGGAGCTAAGCAAATGTAAGTGAACTTTAAGTGTGTCTTGTTGGAAGGATGTTAATGAAAAGTAGCAGATAATTAATAATTGTCGACATTGTAAGAACAGTGAAAACCATGCATTTCACGCATTGTCTCCATGCACTTTGGCTTATGTTCCAGTAATGCTATCTTCAATGTTTATCGTCATTGCATGGGGGGGCAATGTGTAAACCCCTGATTGGGCTTCAGTTGGAAGCCTCAGACCCCTAGAGGATTCATTGGAATCCCAGGTTGCATTACTTTTGACCATATCATGGTGTAGTTCTCTAGGGCGTTTGCTTGAGAGTAGCAAGTGAGTGGGTTCGAATCCTCCTCCTGGCTCCTAATGATTTTCTCATTGATACATAAAGTTAGTGTGATTTCATTGTGCAATGATGTTTATTATGAATTAAGAATATTCATAATATTGCTTGCATTATGCCAGTTGCCTGGCACAGTCATTGGTAATGTATATTGATCGACAATGATTAAAGCTATGGTTTTTCTACTAGTTTGTGCATAACCACTCGCTAGCTTTGCATTACTGACCAAATCGTTCTGATATGCCTTCTGTAATACAGTACAGTATATCCAAATTAATCTGGTTACAGTATCTTGCTTCAAGTTTGTCATAACTCGTTTTGTTCTTGCCAGGTAACATTGTCTTTGCTTGTATTCTTTTACCTTTTTACACCTTTGTGGGGCACCATCTTACATTTACCATATATTGAGGTTATCTTGAGATGATTTCGGGGCTTTAGTGTTCCCGCAGCCCAGTCCTCGACCAGGCCTCCACCCCCAGGAAGCAGCCCGTGACAGCTGACTAACACCCAGGTACCTATTTTACTGCTAGGTAACAAGGGCATAGGGTGAAAGAAACTCTGCCCATTGTTTCTCGCCGGCGCCCGGGATCAAACCTGGGACCACAGGATCACAAGTCCAGTGTGCTGCCCGCTTGGTCGACCGGCTCCACCATTCATTCTGATATTGTATAACTCATTGTTTGAGCAAATAAACTTTGACATATTAATTTTCTTGCTTTTGTACCACATAAGCTAAAATCTTAAGAGAACAAGCTTTGAAAGTGTGTGCAATGTCTGATTCCAAATAGTTTATTTTGTAGAGGTTTCTGTATCAATGGTCTGTGTTGTCAGCTCACAACTAAAGGGGCCTAGATATTGTCATGATGATAGGACAGAAGCATTTGGCAATCTTTCCTGTCACCTGGTGTCTTTGTTCACCTTGCAGTCCAAGTATGTATCTGGGAATTTGGCAACTTGTATAGGTTGCATCCTGGGGAAAGGTCGGTAGTTGGCCTATGCGGATTTTTGATAAGCCTAACAGGCGTCTTGACGACAATTATGGGAACCATAAGGTGAAACATCCTATCCTTGTGCCTAAAAATGTATTAGAAATACATTCAATCCTTGCATACATCTTTTAATTTAAAGTAATTATTGTTTATTCCTGGAACACCGGTGTACCCATCATGTTGTTCCCTGAGCCAAAGCAGCTTTGTGATTCAAACTGCTCATAACAATGATTTCCTTTAAATCAAATTATATATCTTTTGTATGAAGCATAATATGCATCGGATTTTGCAAGGATTTATCATTCTTGTATGTTTGTACTAGTAAATGTTGACAGTGAATTGTGCAGAAGAATCTGTCCAAACCAATTTGCTTTGGAACTGGGAAGAGGGCATTTTGTTATATAGTTTTAAAATTTTATTTATAATGTTGTAATTTTTTTTTCAGCAATGCCAGCAGAGGGCAGTATGGAATTCCAATGGTGTACGAACGATCATTCAGGTGGAAGTTAGGACAATTCCGCTATTTATGTCATAGGTAAGGATGCATGTTTTTTGTATCACTTCTTGGCTAATCCAAAAAAGGCGTGTCCTCTTAATTTCAAGTTGACATCCAGGTCATTAGCAGGGATATTTTAATCTGTTTAGTGTGGGGGGGAAAAACAAATTATATGCTATGAATATAAATAAACTGTAGTGTTGAGTTTAGTAAATATAAATACAGTAGTTTACAATGAAGTTTGAGGGAGGACAAGAAGTGTATGAGAGGGTTTAATTGTAAAAATCTTAATATAGAAGGCAGGCAGTGATATGCAGTATAATATTTGAATGAGAAAAGTGGTGTTGCAGAAGTTGGTTATTCAGTTTCACTGAACTGAAGGCCACTGAAGGCACTGAACTACAGGCCAGTGTCGTTGACTTGTATGCCATGCAAGGTGATTAAAGTTTGGTTTTATATAACTGCCTGGACATCATCTGATGTTTCTGGTTCTTGGATGGGGTGGTGTTCTTCGGTGATTCATATTCATCAAGTAAAGGATTTTGATGATAAATCTGATGATAGAAAAGTGACCCATAACTTCTACCATTTTAGCTATATCTCAGTTTCTGGTCATTTAGTGCAACTATCAAACTGAGTGACATAAGTAGAAATTTAGCTTATGTAAGTTGGGAATTATTGTCACCATGATTTTCTGTTTACATTCTCAATATTTGTTTTTGCACATATATAATTTACTTTATATAATTTTGTCAACAGTAATGCCGTAACTGGTCATATCAAGATAAGCGTAACTCGGCAGACGCTGTTTGAAGATTCTTTCCATCAGGTGATGCGACTTCCAGCTTATGAACTGAGGAGACGGCTCTTTATTATATTTAGAGGAGAAGATGGCTTGGATTATGGTGGCGTGGCAAGGTAAAGGAACTAAAGGATTTGTTTTCATACGGCTAAAAAATTCCATTGTGCTAGCATGAATTACCCTCATTTGGCATGTGTGACCTTTCCTCATGGCTCTGCATTTTCTTTATTCATTCATCTATCCTCTCACTTTTAAGTAGCACAGACACTTGCCATATTATGTATTCAAAGCTAAATATGAAGTGTTACGAGACAACTTTTACTATTACTTCCGCTCTGGAAGTAGACGGGAAGGCTCTCCTGGTCTTGCTCATGAATAAAGAAAATTCTGATCTATCATACACCACAAAACTAGGCAAATACTCCATATAGGACCATATACTCATTACAGTACCTGTAATTATTGAACTGCTTGTACACATTACATCACTTTCACCATGTCTTGAGATATGATGACCTGGGGAGACCTGCTGAGAGGCTACAATGAAGATAATACATTTTTTCTGTGTAGTGTAACCTAAAAACTGGTTATTCATTATGTTTTCTAAAAAAAAAATTATATTAATATTATTGAGACTAATATCTTGAATTTGTATTTTTAAGTTATTTATTAATCTTTAGAACATAGCTTGTGTAAACTCGAAGTGTAAAAAAATTTGATTCTATATTTTACAGCATCAGAAGGTCGACTTATTAATCCGTTAGTGGTAGTGACTATGGTGTTGCTCGAGACAACAGTTGTAGATATCCTATTTAGACTTTTGATCCATTGCTTAACACTGCATTTTATTTTGCACCATTGAGATTGGGTAGGTAAGGCTGCAGTGATATATGTTGAGTATACAAATTGTAAATATTTACATTAATTTTCTCTTTACACAGAGAATGGTTCTTCCAGTTATCCCATGAAGTCCTCAATCCTATGTACTGCCTGTTTGAGTATGCCAACAAGAATAACTACTCGCTACAGATCAACCCAGCCTCAGAAGTCAACCCTGATCATTTAACTTACTTCAAGTTCATTGGTCGTTTTATTGCAATGGTATGGACATGGTGGAACAATCTTCAGATAGTGTTTACAAAATTGTTGTTTTATGTGCTTTTAATCATTTATAGTATTTAACCAGGGTAGTGAAACTTGCTGTATCTCAAGAAAATAGTACAGTATAGGTACTGAATCAGAATTAGAATTAATGCCTTAGAGGAGTATGTACCTTGTATGTACCTCCCTTTGGGAGGTTATTTACATTAATTAGAAAGAGCACTGATCCTAGGACAGGGCCCTGTGGAACACCTCTTTCCACTTGTCTCCAGCCTGATATCCTCTCTGATTATGACTGTTTCCTGTTTCTCAGATACTCTTGTACCCAGTCTAGTGCCTTTCCTGTTATTCATGCTTGTCTTTCCATCTTGTGTATTAGTCTTTTATGAAGGACTGTCTCAGAAGCTTTCTGGTAACCCAGGAATTATGCTGTGAAAGGACACTGCATTTGGAATTCACAGATTGGAAGAATGAATCATTGATTGTGTCTTATTATAGACTGGTGGCCCATAATTCTCAACTCCTTTACAATCATATCTTTTTAACAGAATATGAAGGCTTGATAATAAGTATTAGTGTCATCATTTGTACATATTAGGTAGATGTATAACAAAACAGTACAGTATGCTCAAAATTTGGAACAACATTATGTATTGCACAGTTTCTTTAGGTCGGGTCATTTGGTGGCAAGTTTTTCATACCCTCCGTATATTCTTGATATCATCTTGATAAGATAATATTCCAACTAGCAAAATGTCATATTACATTCATTTAATATAGACAAATCTTTTATTTTTAGGCTTTGTATCATGGAAAGTTTATCTACTCAGGATTTACCATGCCATTCTACAAACGCATGCTCAATAAGAAGTTGACCATGAAGGACCTGGAATCTATTGATCCAGAATTTTATAATTCTCTCTGCTGGATCAGAGATAATAACATAGAGGTAAGAACTTAATAGCAAGATACTTTTTAATTAATATGTACGCTAATTAATACAGGAATGAGTAACTTATAAGTAAGAGGTAATACAATGGCAACAAATAAAATTTATGTAAATTTGTTACTGACATTTCTGTTCTGTCACTGGTTTTACTGCCGGCAGGTATGTTAAATCTGCCGGCAGGTATGTTAAATCTGCCGGCAGGTATGTTAAATTTGAACCTTGTTGTGTTCTATGCCATCTTTTATTTACAGCAAACACTTTTTTTGTATTAGTTTAACCCATCAGCTGCACATCACAACCAGGGATGTTCTTGCCAATTATCTGTAAGCTTAGCAACTATGGTCAGGGATGTTTCAAAAGTACTGTGTACAATTTAAAATTCACATGGGTACACAGGGCTCACATCTGCTTCCTCAAGCCTCCAGTAAAGAGGCCCCATCTTGGGGAAAAAATCGTGGGCACTCCTGAGTTTGAGGGTCTCGGTATTGAGAAAGCGACTTCAAGTAGCACATGCAGTAGCAGCTCACTGCCCTGCAATGCAGCTTGTGCCCACAGCATCACTTAATAACGCTGCAATAAATAAGTAACTGCAATTATTTAAGTGATAGTGCCTGGTAGGACACTGTACATACAGTATATTTAAATTTTATATGTAATAGCATCCTTAATAATTTATCCTATAGATTTTTTACCAAGTTTCTTGCAGATCAGTAAAATGTGTGGTATTCTAGGATGCAATCTAAGTAGATCTTAGTGGATGGCATTTATTGTTAGGAATTTGTAAACTAGGCAAATATCTAAATTTGAGCTGCATTTAGTTTGTTCAGTGTTTTGAGAGAAAGTTTGTTAATTTGTGGTCAATTTCATCTCCAATTTTAGGAATGCTGCCTTGAGATGAATTTCTGCACAGACTTTGAAGTGCTCGGTAAAATATCAGAGGTGGAATTGAAGCCTGGAGGCAAGGATATCCAAGTTACTGAAGAAAATAAAGAGGAATACATAGAGTAAGTGTATATGTTTAGTGGAGAAACTACAATGCCATAGTCATCAACACCACCTGATACACCAGGGAGGTCATCATCAACACCTGATACACCAGGGAAGACATCATCAACACCACCTGATTCACCTTAAGCAACATTTTTGGATGTAACCTACATCTTTTCTCAAGGTACTGTATACAATGTTCATGCTGTATATAATGATGAGAACATTGTATATAGTACCTTGAAAAAGAATGTAGGTTACATCCAAAATATGACTTTTAATACATTTACACATATATTGGGTGTGTACCTTGACCTTCATTCAAGTACTACAGCATTGTAGTAAATTTATCCACAAAATTAATAAATAAATAAATAAATTCATAAGGAAGATGATGGGAGTGAGAGAGGTAATGAGTAATGATGTGAAGCAGCAGTCTTCCTCTTGCTAACCACTGTCTTTGGTATGCTTATGTCAGTGCATACCTATCAGTGACTATGGAAGGATTGATATCTAGCTTTTAATGCCCTGCCTCTTACCTGTTTATACCTGATGTGCTAATTACCTCTTTCAGCATTAATGTTTTCATCACTTCATCATGTTTTCATTATATTTATTTTAAGTTGTATATAGAATTAGTTTCAACCTCTTCCTTCAATGCATTCCACTTGATCATCTGTACAGTGAACGAGAAATTTCTTACATCTCGATTTAATTGCATGTATACCTTCCACTGATGGATGCCTGTCCTACCTCTTTTTTTAATTTAAATTAGGCTTCCTTTATCCACTTTGTCTATTCCCCTCAAGACCTTGTGCCTAGTTATCATATCCCCCTCTGTTTCTTTTCTCCTCTAAGGTTGTGGGCGAGTTGTCTTGGCCTGTTCTCTTTGCTACAGCCTCTCAATTCTGGTACTAATGTAGTTAAAAACCTGAACTTTTTAAAGGTTTCCTTTTATGCTCCACAAGGTGTGGAATCCAGGCTGGTGCTGCATACTCAAGTAATGGTGTCACATACACAGTGTGTATGGACTTGAGAGCCTCATTGTTTAGACTCTTAAATGACATTCTTGTGTTTGCTAACTCTCATATGCTGCTGATGTGATCCTGTTCACATGATCTACGGGTGTTAGTGTTTGGATTATGTACATGTGATACTACTGTTCCTTCCTCCAACCATCCAAGGTTGTTATATGTGGCATAAGTAAGAATCTAATTTGTATTGGTTCAGTGTTACCTTGGTTCAGTATATACAGTACATAGTCACATAGGAGGTTATGTTAAGAGGTACATTCTAAGTAATTTGACCTAATATGAGCACTGGTAATTGGAGTATTTCAGGTTTGATGTATGCAGAGGATTCAGTTTTTAAAAAGAAGGGAGATTTAGGTATACAGTAGTTGAAAATTGTGTTGGTGTGTAAGAGAAAACTGTTTAAAATGAACACAGATAAAAGTAAGTTATGACAGTGGAAAGATACGGAAATTCTGTGCCAAATTACTGTGAATGGTGACATGCTTTAAGTTGTCCATCACTATATACAGTACCTGGTATGTCCAGTGGATAAGAGGAACTTGTATAATTGATGTTAAGGTAGTCAGTGAGGAAGGTAAAGTGATTGAACAATGATCCTCATGGATATATAACAGTAGATAGGAATAGATACGGCCAGCCGGCTGCATCAAGAAGTGGCACTGCCAACTCTTTATGTACAGTTGTACAAAATTCTAAAACCTCTTGGTTCTTACATTTTACCTCGGCACCTTTTCCTTTTATATAGAGAAAGTCACAACATCCATTTCATCTACAAATTATTATTTCAGTCTCATTTCATACATGTAAGTATATAGTATAGATACAATTATAAACATTTAGCAATTCTCTTGACACTTCAGTTTTACTTGGTGTTTTTCTTCATATTATTTTCTATAACTTCTTACTCTTTGATTTTGATTTTGCAACATTGCTGTAGACGACATCACCTTATCTACCTTAAAATAATATGTTATGAACCAATATAAATGCACAAGGGATGAGTTATAAACTTATAAAAGGCTAAGTAAATGATTTGTGTATGGCTTATGTTCAGTCATTAGCTTGGATTCCTATAATTGTTCAGCTCTAGACTGCTCTTTTAGTTGTCCATTTATTTAGTGCTAACATTCCTTTATCTTGATGCTTTGTTAAAATGATGACCTGCCATTCTTCTACATAAATGATCTTGTACCTTATATATATTAGTCATAATTACTGCTGAATTATTGTTTATTACTGTTAAATATTTGCCTTTCCTTTAGGCTAATGATGCAGTGGCGACTGACACGCGGTCAAGAGGCTCAAACGCGACATTTTTTGGAAGGCTTTTCAGAAGTGGTGCCTCTAGAATGGTTAAAATATTTTGATGAACGAGAGCTAGAACTGCTGCTGTGCGGTATGCAAGAGATTGACATCAACGACTGGCAAAAGAATACCATTTACCGACACTACAATAGGTCATCTAAACAGATCATTTGGTTTTGGCAGGTGTGTTTCTCAACAAATTTTAACAAAGAGAATTTAGTAAATGTAGTTCATTCTTTAGAGTTTTGTATTTGGTTTTTGTTTGTTTTTCCTCATGAACATTCAGTACTACTGGTGTACACATCCTTGTTTTGCTTTCTGACAAGATTCTCCTAAGCCACGTTTTGTGTTCATTTCCCTGTCCCATACGTTTATCTTTGTTTTGACTGTTTATGATGTTTCCTGGGTATTTTGTCCCTTGTCACTGATGCCTACGGCTTGTAAAGTAGGTAGAGATTGAATATATTTTGGGAATGTTTGTTTTATATATTGGTACATTGCTGATGTACAGAAATAATTTATATATACAGTATTGCACCATAAGATAAAATTTAGGCCTTGTCTAAATATTTGCACTTACAATTCCTTTTTTCCAACAGTTTGTAAGAGAAATTGATAATGAAAAGCGGGCAAGATTACTACAGTTTGTGACTGGGACCTGTCGAGTACCAGTTGGAGGCTTTGCTGAACTTATGGGTAAGTTATCACCTTACACATTAGTATTCTGTATAATTCATTTAACCTCCAGTAGGGCCAATGCATTAAGGTTTACAATTTGATCCACTGCTTAGTTTCTGTATGCTCTTGATATTATGGTAAACTTGGAACACTTCTGTTGGTCATAATAAAGACCTTATTGTGGTTGTAAGAGTGCAGATCTTTGATCGTTATTTTTGATTAGATGGATTTTTGTTGGAGTCGTCGTCGTTGTGATATTTTGTGATTGGCAAAACGTAACAAAACGTCCAGCATTCATTCCCTGTGACGGGTTGAAGATATTAGTCTTTACAAGTTAGAAGTTGCACACTTGGTCACACTTGCCAAATACCTTTGTGAAGTGTGTGTATACATCTGCATTTTGTTTTTCTTCTAATGCTTCTGTGATTTTGTTATTGTGTTTGAGTAACTGTGAAATATACAACTCTGGTTACCCTTGTAAATGCATAATCTAAATGTGAAAGACAATATTGAAATGATTATTACTGTGATTCTCTTGCTTTGCCAAACTCTCTTTACTTTCACATTAATATATTGTTCACAGGAAGTAATGGTCCACAAAAGTTCTGCATAGAAAAGGTTGGGAAGGAGACGTGGCTGCCGCGGTCCCACACCTGCTTCAATCGCCTCGACTTGCCTCCATACAAGTCCTATGAACAGTTAGTGGAGAAATTGACATTTGCTATTGAGGAAACTGAAGGATTTGGACAGGAATAAATTTGTACAGAGAGTTCTTGACCAAATTCAATATAGTAACAGTAGAGTACTGTACAGTATATGTAATATTACAAGTGAATTTTCATATAGAAAACAAAATATATATATATGTATATATATATATCATGCACATGTGCACACACAAATACAAATATACATATATATGTATATAAACTACATATACAGTCATTTGATTACTTGAAAAAAAATGCATTATATTGACATTGCTGTGCATCTGTTTTGGTGATAGTACGAGTAGCAGAAAATTGCCAAGAAACATTCTCCAGGTTGTGTTTTGCTGGCCATATTTGGGCTGCAGTGGTCAGCATTGGCCAATTCTTGTTTCTTGCCTTGGCTGATCTTTTATGAAAACATTGTGGTACTTTATTTTTAAGCATACAGTATTGCTGTCAGATTTATATTTTGTGTGGTGTTTATATATTTTGTAGAGTTTATTTGATTTTGCAAAACAGTGCTAAGTAATTGGCCACATATATTATTTTGCAGTTATATTTATTATTATTACCAGAAAAACTTCCTTATCAGATTGAAAAATAAAAAAGTTATTTGATTAGATTTCCTGCAGTATATGTTAAACTTCCAATCTTCGTGATCCTGATGTTATGCAATGGGTAAAGCAGTGTTGAAAGTGAGCTGTCTTCACTGGGACAGTCATAATGTCTGCTGATACACTGTAATGGTCTGAATGATCTGTGCAATCAAAATATTAATCCAGAAGATATATTATCACTTGAGAGAAACGTCTTACTTTTTAAGAAGTCTTTATTGTAGATAACATATTACTTACAACAGATTTCTGCAGATCTAAAGAAAAACTATTTTTGTTTATCATTAAACTTGAAGAAGACTTATCTTGTGGGGAAATTAGTCAAATCAAGGCATGCCCTTTTATGTATTCTTTCCAGGTTGTTAGTAGCCTCTGCCTTAAGTCAGTTGCTGTCAGTGGAATCATTCCTGTAAAGGCATGTATTGTCTCATTAACACTGATCTCTCTTGCTTTTAACAGCTAAATTTTACTTGGCCTTGTGTAAAACTGTATTAGAAGTATGAATGAAAAAATGAATATTTGGAGTTAATATTGTATGTCTGGTTTGACAGTTTGCAAGTTGACTTGCCAACAATATTTTTTATCAACGTGAAATTGCTACACAAGTCAGGTCAAACCTTATCATTGTACAGCATTCTTGGCCTCAAATAAAGTTCATTGCCCTGGAAAGGTTTTGTATGAACTTAATTTACACTTATAAAATATAAAGACAAATATGGCACTAAAACATTTACAATTTGAAAGAAACTTGATTACTGTGTATGACAAGCATATCTCTGCTTGTCATATATAGTAACAATATATATATATATATATTATTGCTTGCTTGCTCTCTTTCCTCTCTATATATCTATCTATCTCATGCTCTCTTTCGTGGGTTCTGTCTTTCATGCTCTCTCACATGCTCTTTCTTGCACGTTCTCTCTTTCCCTTTCTCTTTATCCATGGGGTATAAGCTGACAAAAACACAAGCAAGTGGTAAATCTGTGAATGTCACTTGTCGTTGACTTTGAGGATATGACTTGCCCCTACCAGCTGGTATCCTAGCACTGGATTATAATGTAGATGAATATTGCAACATGATGTGTTCTATGATTTGCAGTAAGCATACCTCTAAAGTGTCACAATTATTAGGTGTAAAGTCTCACTAGTTCAGATTTTTATGATTACACTCGATGAGAAGAGGATCTTGTCAATATTGTTAACTCGGGTACCCATGAATGACGAAAACTACAAATAAAATGATGTACGAATGCCGGGGGTTTTATGTACCGTACTGTGAACCCAGGTTTACACACTATTACATGCATGCCACGTTGCCTGCTCCTTCGTTTCCACAGCTGCAAAATTAAGATATGTGTAACTGCAAAGAAAGAAAATTAAATTTTAACAAATTTATCTAAACCATTTTTGGCCATTTTGATTTATAATGTAAACATAAGCTCTTGGAAGCACTGAAAGAAATGGTGGGAGTAGAAGAAAACTATACATGACCCAACATTGCTTGGTTGTCTATATACAGAAAACCTTTAACTGATGTTCATATTAATAGATTAAACCTCTTAAAATGGCTAAGAATTATTTTGTTCAATTTCCACTCTGGACTTTATAAAAGGAAAATAGGTTATTAGTTCTGTTAATTGAAAATTTCTTCAACATCCCTATTACATGTTGTGTTAGGTGGGCAGAATTCTACTTGGTAGTTTTGTTTCATAGATTTTTGTGTGTTAAGACAAGAGAATAATAACTTCCCATCACCATTCAAAGTTTTTTAACAATAGTATTCATTAATAAAATTTGTCAACACAATTTTGCAAGTGAAATTATGGCAGACACTGGAAGTGGCATTTGATATTTCACTAGTTCACAGAGCAAATAAAAAAGCTTTGTAACTTATCAATAGAAAATTTATGAATAGAAGCATCATAGGTAACCATCCTGAAATCACAAAGATCTTCTTAACTTATAAACCTGATCTACATTATTCTTTATACCTGAATAAGACTACTACACCAAGGTTTAGGATTTGGACTAGACATTTGCAAAGCAGAGCTTTGGAGACGAATTATATATTACTCTGGATTATTAGGTTTGAGCTTTATCCAGCCCATACATACAAGGCAATGATGGAGTTAGTCACAAGTTTCTTGATCAGAAGGATTTTACCTTACCATCAAATTTTCATATTCCATTTATGGTATAATATCTCGTGTACCCAGTGCTTTTGTGTACGGGTGTACAGTAACTTTTCATCTCTGCTGTTTTACTTTACTTTTATTGGTTGCTGTTCCCATTGGTGATCTGATTTAATTTCCAGGTTCAATTCCTCATCAAATCCACCCACTTAAAATAGTCCAAATTCATTGAACATTAAAATAGCTGTTGGTTTTATGAAATTATTATTACATAATTCATTTAATATAACAGCATTATCTACATAAAACTTTTACATGTTGTGTTATGTGCCTAGATAATTACAGTACTTGACTTTTTATCAATGTTACAGATTCTAACTCATGTTCTGCATTTCTCCCACTTTTATTTGAGATAGCTTGCTGATACTGTATTATTTAATAAGTCCTGAACTAATGGCAGCACGGTTGAACTCCTTCACCTAAAACAAGCAGATACTCTTCCCTTCCCCCCCAACCATTCCTCAGTGGTATGGCATTATGGCAAGCCAGTTACATTGGAAGCTAAAAGTACAATATAGAGTTATTCTTCTTAGGGCCTGGCATTTGTAGGGATATGCTCAATAAGATATGAGAGGCAAGGCAGTCCCCCAAAACCCTAATACATGTAATAACAGAAAATGCATTTCACCCTCCCAAATCTGGATCTCCGTGTAATGAAGCCTTTGAAACAACGAACGAGATTTTTAAACTGGATTTTTCCTCCAAAATTTGGATTTCTAAAAAAAAAAAAATCTAGATTCCGGAGAGGATGCAATGAAATTTAAATTGTCACGTAAAGTAATTTCCATCAAATCATATATTTTCTCATTTTTCTAATCTTAATTTTTGATTTGTAAACTATACTTAAAATAATGCATTTATATTTGAAATATTTTAGTATCTTGTACTGTACTATAAATAGTACAAGCAAGTTGATATCTTTTCTGAGGCTTCAATACCTACTATGAGGGCGTGCATATACCTACTTTGTTTTTCTTTGTATGTACTCGCCTAGTTGTGCTTGCGGGGGTTGAGCATCTGCTCTTTGGTCTCGCCTCTCAACCGTCACTCAGTTGGTGTACAGATTCCTGAGCCTATTGGGCTCTGTCATATCTTCATTTGAAACTGTGTATGGAGTCTGTCTCCATCACATCACTGCCTAATGCATTCCATTTGTTAACTACCGACACTAAAAAAATTCCTTTTAATGTCTTTATGGCTAATTTGAGTACTCAGTTTCCACCTCGGTCCCACCTCATTTGAATACTCGGACTTCTTGTGCTTGTACCACCTGTGTATCAGTTCCTTTGAGAATCTTGAATGTGGTGATCATACTTAACTCTTCTTTCTGTCAGCAATGTGAGGTTCAGTTCCTGTAGTCTCTCCTTGTAGCTCATACCCTCTCAGCTTGGGTACCAGTCTGGTGGCATACCTTTGCACCTTCTCAAATTTAGTCTTGTGCTTAGCTCCACGATTGGTCTGACATGTGGTATACAAGGTCCTAAATGATTCCTTACACAAGTTTCTAAAGGCAGTTCTGATACTGGCCAACCGAGCATATGCCACTGATGATATCCTCCTTCAGGGGAGAGGTCTGGTGTGATGTCAGAACCCAGGTCTTTCTTTTCCCAAATTCCCGGATTTTGTGTGTGTGTAATTACCTAAGTGTAGTTTTAGGATGAGAGCTACGCTCGTGGTATCCTGTCTTCCAAGTATGTGTGCATGTGGTTTGATCTCTCATTACTCAAGCATTTTCACTGACTTTTTTCCCGATATATCATTATTTGCGAGTTTCGGCCGTTGTTGTGTTGTAAACAGAGTACAGTATTATGCATATCAGACAAGAGTACATCTAACTTCCCTACTCGGGACAATAATGTAGAGCTATGAGAAAATTATGATCGTGACTGGCAGAGGAGTATGGCATTGGTATTTATGGATTTAGATGATGTCTTTACCAGTGATTTATGCAGCACTGTTGCCTGGGACTGACTGTTAGTGGTGGCCAGTTGCAGTGTGTTCAATATAATGGCATTAATTATGGGCATTGAGAACTTCAAGGCCAGTTTAAAGTGACTTGAAATTTGAGAGATTGCATGATAGTAGCAATCAGCATTTTTTTACTTATCAACTAGCCGCTGTTTTAGAATGGTAAGTGAGCAAATTCATTTTGTATTTTTTTGCTTAATTATTATACACAAAATCAGTATTTTTATATTGTCTTAAGTATTTGCAGAAACATAATGTATCACTTTCTATACAAAATTGGAAAAATTTGATGATACTGTAAATAACCCCCCCAAAAAAGACATGTTTGGAAATCTAGATTTGGCACAAATCTGGATTGGGTTTGGAGTGATATGTTCTGGATTTTGGAGGTGCCACTGTATTATCATTTACATTGTTTTCAGTTCTGTAAATCATGGGCCTCCATGAAAAAGAAAAACGGCATTCCTTCACAATGATTTTGGAAATTGTGTTTTTATGTACATTATTTTATCCCCCTACTCCTCACATAGCCATAAATTATTGTTTGCAATACAAGAACATAATTCAGTTCAATTACTTGTAGCCTTTTGTATATTTTAATCTCTTATTTGACACTACTGCTGCTGCTGCTTGCTTGTGTTGGGACCAGGGTAGTTGGTATGGTATGGTTCACTTGTCACAATCAGCATATACACTTACTTTTACTTATATGAAAATTAGTAATAAAAATCACTAAAGTTTCATATTTCAGATGTGTAAATAAAAATGCAAATTTTAGCAATGACCAGTGAAAGACGACACACCTACGACACTGCTCATCATGTATGTCTTTCTTGGTCAAGTCTGTTTAAACATGCCAGCTTAGCACACTATTTATATGTTTAAAATCCCTCAAACCAACATAATTATATTTGCAATTGAAGATGATACCTTATTTGGCATGATATTGCTGCTTTATTGAATGATCAATAAGGTGATCTGCTTTCCAAACAATTTCCATTTATTATTTCCTTCAGTCAAAATGAAAACAATACACATAGTAGTTTTAAAATAATGATTAATATTAAATGCTACTGTGTGATTAAGCTTTTTTTCAGCTTTTAAATACATTTAGAAACATGTTTTTGGAGTTAGTATTTGAAAATAATATCCTGGATTATGCTATTATTTTCTTATTATCATAGTTACATTTATCCATCTATCACTTTATTATGGTCTTAATTACACACAACTGCAGGAAAGAAAGGGCAAAATTAGTTCAGGTTCTATAACACAAGTACAGGGAACTGTATTTTTTTTTTGTTAATAAAATACATCTTGTTGCTAATGTTTTCAATGTTCTTAACCCTTGCACTGCTCACCTATTTTCGGCAAAAACGTCTTGGTGCAATTGTCAAGGACATATTTTTGTTATTTTTACAAATGTTCAGGTAAATTTAATGTCAAAATGTTTCCAAAGTCAACTATTTCCATTTCAAAACACAAATAGTAATGAAAACATTAAAAAACATTAAAACATGGCCAAATTAAAAAACAAAAAGCACAACTCTCTGAGCGCCTAAAGGTGCTTTGCGCAGTGCAGTGGTTAAATTTCATCCCTAATTAAAAAAGATATGCCAGAAATTAAATTTTGATCATACCAACCTGAATAGATGCTGTAGACAAAATTAGTAACTGTGTGTCCTTGAATACATCCTGAGATAGTGTGAGCAAAGTTGGAGATAGCTAATTGTTGCTTCTTGTGGTACCTAATGCCACAGATGTGGCCATAACTTGACCGGCTTTATGTACTATAACTGATGCCATTTTAGAAGATTGAAGTTGCTGATACAAATTTAGTTAGCTTGTATTTTTATTTCTGGTAAATTAAATTTATGAATGGTTTGAATTTGGTTAACCAGTGTGTTCTCAAAGTAAATGTATTCCAGTCCATTCTTATAAAATGCTAGTACAGTACTTATAGCAACTATTTGGTTAAGTATACAAAAAATTGACTGTTGGGAGCCGGTCGGCCGAGCGGACAGCACGCTGGACTTGTGATTCTGTGATCCTGGGTTCGATCCCAGGCACCGGCGAGAAACAATGGGCAGA